GTACTAAGAGGGCGGAGAAGGAGCAGCGAGAGGTGAGGCAGTACTACGGTTCATTCGACTCGTACTTTTTATTACAGTTTAATTTTGGCACCTCGCATACGTGCGTATGTTCATATGCAAGCATGTACATTAGGGTGTCCCGTCAAAAATTTTTTTTTGGGGATTTTGGGGACCTATAAAAAAAAAGTTAGTATTAAAAAATCGTTAAGTAAACAATTAGGTATTATTCTTTGAAGTCTCCTAAAGAGAAAAAGAGTTGCAAATTGAAAAATATTGACCTTTAAGGATTTTATCTCTATTTCTACGAAGGAGTGTTTTTTCTCATATAAAATACGTGGAAAACTTCATGGTGTGGTAGAGCCCTCTAAATGACACACAATTCTGACTTTTTTACCCTTTACTTAACATGTGTAAAATTACGCAAATTTCGATACCTCATGCGATAGCGTAGCTCAAAAAAATTTTTTGACGGGACACCCTAATGTACATATGGATGCATGTGCTGTGAAAACCGTATGGTATGTAGTAGTGTAGCGTTGCAAAGCTATTTTGTTCGTCACTCACATTACTCAGCTCTTCAGAAAGCAATAATTCAATTCACTCACATTGTCAATGATTTATTGAAACACATAAACAACTGCTAAACTTCCGTAAAAATCCCACTATTCAGTGACTAAAGTGTTCCCACAAAAGAGAAAAAATGAAGAAAAATTGCCAAATCGTCGGAATTACAACTAAAAGCCCTCAGAAGTGCTTGGTGCAAAAGAATGCCGACACAATTTTCACTTCGGCCTTAGCCACCGTCCACAATGGTCACTTTCATTGCATTTGTTCATCGCGCTGTCAATACACTTTATTTTCCGTTTTTTATTGCCTCCTTGTGTGTTTATTTATGTGTGAGTGTGCATATGCGTATATGGATGTATGTATGTACATATATACTTGGAAGCACAAAAACAAAAAAAAACACCCCACCAACCAAAGGTGTCTGTTGTATGGTCAAGGGGGTGAACATTCACCGGGCTCGATTACCTTCGCGCATCGTTTCACGTCCGTTTGACTGGCCATATTGCACTGAATGGCCTCGGCTGCAGGTGCTCTCCTCTCACCGACTGGCAGAAATACATACCTCGATAGTGTCGAATAATGGAGTCGGAAGTGCGGAAAACTATACGGAGATACATACATACATATGTACATATTTATGTTGAAGTGGTGCTTACGTAATAAATGATGATAATTCCGAGTGCTCTCACTTGATGTCCCTTTGTATTTGGGATTCTAATTTATATGAATTGGCTGTAAATGACATGAAATCCTGTTCCTCTTCTCATAAAAAATGTCATTTAATCTTCGTGTTCTAAATGCTACCAATTACAAATGGTATGTTTATATGTATCTAAATTTGTATACCAGACACAATCACATCATTCGGATTAAAAATTTATTTCAATTGATTTTAGTTGTGTTTTTAATTTTTATTAGGATCTTACTTGTACATATCGACACCCGAGTGGAAGAACGACCTATCTTGGCAACCAGTTCGAAAGCGCCCTATCCCAGAAAACTTTTCAAGAACGCCCTACTTCGGAATTTGATTGGGGAATGAACTATTTCAGAATTTTATTGAAAAACACCCCTTATCAGAAATCGGTTCGAAAACGCCCTATCTTAGCTTGAATGTGAAATTGAAAATGTGCTGAGCTAGGGCGATTTCGAACTGGCTGCTGATATAATTCGATCGTCCACTCATATATCGATATGCAGTATTTGCAGGTATTCCTCCAAAACTATAAGTTTATAAGATTATAGGCCGCTACAGCGGCCAAAAGTAATAAAAACGGATTAACGAACTATGAAAAATCAATTACTCTGATTCATAGAAAAATGTAAAACTAAGCCAAACCAAAAAGAACTTTTAATAAAAATGCATATTTACATTCATGGGACAAGCTTAAAGTAAATACATATGTATATTCCAAATAATAAATTTGTAAGAAAAAAGTTGGATTTTGTCGCAAGTAATCCAAATTAATCTTTCAACTTGTGCGGATTATAATAAGCCGATATGATTGGTGATCAATTTTTTAGTATGCGTGAGGTCAAGCAATGCTTTAAGTTTTTATATACATATCTACCAAATTCTGAAAAGTTTTCTGAGAT